TTTTTTTCCATTTTATTCAAAAAAGAAAAACAAAATCAATTTCAAATACCAAATTTTCAATTAAACATAAAAGAGCAACTATAAATATGAAATGTTTCTGTCATAATTCAACCAAACTTTGGTTGTTTTAGTCCAATAAAAGAAAAAAAGACATGACATCCATTTTCAATTTTATTGAAGCTAAGAAATACCAAACTAGCAAAAATATTTATATTTTTACTGTATCATTGAACTATATTATTCTACAACTATGTACAATGTATTAAAATTACATTAAGATTTTTATTCAAGCTTTCTAAACCCAAGAGAAAAAATCTTAATAAGAAAGTTTTTCATGTCCTCTCATTTGTACAAGTTCAGTTTATAATACTGAAACTGAAAAAATCCTTTTCACCTAAAAAATGTCAAAAACTATCATACAAAATTATAAAATGTACATTTTGATATAAGCTTATATTTTTACAAAAGAATATGTAAGGAATTGTAGAAAACTAAGAAATGATGAATAAATAGTTTGATGTGATTTTTGTTGTGTTTGGTTTACTTGTATCACTACAACTCTACAAGAGTCAAACATTGAATTATCTACCATATTTCTAACCAAAGACCAGGATATTTATCCCTACAGAATTGTCTAGTTTTCTCTTTACATTCAGCAGATATGTTATTAGCAGACAGGTTTAGAAAGGTGAGATTACTGTGTAAGTGTTTCATGATGTCATCCACTCCACCATCAGTTATCTTATTACCACTCAGGTATAGCTGGGTTATTTTTGTCTTTTGTAAATCTTTACACAAACACTTTACGTGTTCATCATTCAAATAACACCACCCCAGGTCCAGTCTAGTTATTGAACAGTTTGTAATGAGTGATGACATCAATCTCTTTATCCCGGTAATGGTTATCAGTGAGCCACCAATGTACAATCTGTATGGTGGTGATGATATTGATGTAGCAGTGGATTCTACTAACATAGCGATTCCATCACAGTCCGTGTCGGTTACATCATATAATACAATCTTCCCATCACTAGACCAGTATCTGTAGTCAGGGTTTGTATTTAGTTCTTGTCTTGTCAAGCGTTTGTCTTGACCAAACTCGTGCAGGCATCGCAATGACACCAGTCTTAGTCTGTATTCATCTTTAATATGTTTACCTAGACACTCTAGTAGTTCTACCATTAATTCATTATTATCATTCAAACCTAACAAACCGCTCATGAATGTGTACACCATTTCAGTGCTTTCTTGTGCCGCCATTACGCCTTTCTTTACCAAATACCAAGCAACAAAAAACTCTTGAATGGTGAAGTGCGTGAAGCTATATTCACAGGTTGGCTTTTGAAATGGCAAATTATTACTTGAAACAGGATAACAAAATATAAGATTACTAGATTTTATGTACAATAATTCATTTTCTGATAATTTTAGATTTTCTAAATCTTGTAAGGTAAAACTAAATCTATTTTCTTGAGATAACTGTGCCGCTAACTTTGAAAAATTATCGAGCGTTTTGTCAACANCCAGAAACTATTATTCTCTTAGGATTCTTTTTTCTGAGCTTTCGAATTTTTGCCAGAATATTTTGGAAGAAAGTCAGGTTTTCATCTTCTTGAACAAAAATTTCACTGCAGTGCTTGATTTCGGTCAGCGTTTTACGGTGTACAGGGTGCTGTCCGCTTTGAATTTGTTCTGGACATCTTTCCTTTCCGTGGTGAACAACTACATTGGTGAAAATATGGTCGGTCTTCATTGGTGCATGGATCATTCCTTTTGGTTGTAGATCGTCCGTTTGGGTTATTATTGCTTCCTTTAGTTTTTCACAGTAACGTTCCGCATCTGCAAAGAAAAGAAATAATCTAACTATACTATTTACAGTGTGACTGAATCTAGATGGTGTTTAACTAGAAAAAAAGGCGCGTGAAAGTACGCAATTTATCTATAAAAGGGTGTAAGTACTCATTTTTACTACGACATAATTAATGTAAAAATTTCTTGATTTCTGTTTAGGTGTGAGACTTGGTAAGTAAAAGTACATAACTCGGTCGTGATTTCAGATGCTTTCGTTCTTTTTTCTTTATTTTTTATCTCTCTGTTTAGCCTATATTTTTTTACTTGAAAATTAATGCAACCAGTCAGAAAGCAAGAAAATTATTACCATAATGTGAATTTAAAGAGTATAATTCGCACTTTTATGTCTAGTTTGTTTTGTTTATAAGGGACTGCGCAATATTTATCAGGACGGCTGAGGTTGGTAAAAAACATGAAACAGCTAGTGACGTCTCCCCTCATACTGTCGGGAACCCTGTGCCATACTCTTATTCGAATAGTGGTGTGGGTTCCTTACACATCATGATGTTGAGCGATTTTGAGCAAGTTATAAAATACTAATTATTCGTTTCATCCATAAATACCAGAAACGGTACATTAGAATATAAAATTTAACCAAGTTATTAAAGATATACTGAGTGTCTATCTATAAATTATTATACAAATTTAGAGCATTTTAATTACTATTTAAAAAAAAACAATAATTCGAAGTCATATTTACAATAGATACATCTTTCATTGACAGTAGGTATAAGCAATGGTAATCTGTGAAGGTTTTGAAAGAGTTATGAATCAGTGTTACTGTACAGGCTTTCTAAGAAAACCATTTCGTTGTTATTATTACACAAAGGTGACAAAAACGCTGTTCTTAAGGGATTCCATTATATCTAGTTGTCTGAATGAATCAAGGGCGCCAGGAAAACCATTACAGTTTAGTGAATGAAATTACGATTGTATTTGTTATAGCTTTGAACATCTTATAGAAATTCACTTATCTAACTTCTTGTGTATATCTTGAGTGCATCCCGAATTCCCTTGTGGGTTGGTCGGCTATTTTCTCCATTCCAATTGGTCAAAAGCTGTACATTGTTATTTTAGTACACAACGTTATTTAACGGTCGTTATTAGGTACCATGGTACGTACCGTCCGCTTATGCAGCCAAGCGATTTAATTTCACTAAATAACGTGGCGTACTGAAATGAAAACGTACAGCTTTTGACCTATTGGAATGGAGAAAGTTTCCGGGGGGGGGGGACAATTCGTGACCCTTTTAAGACACTAGAAAGTGAAAGTCCATAATCCATACATGTTCATCCTGTTACAGTGAAACGGTATTTCTACTATTTCTACGGTATTTCTTATGAAAATATTGCCTTGTCCAAGACACAAAAAATTACATCGTTCTTTTATCTAAATTGTAGAGCCTGTTTAAGACATTTTCAGGTGAAATGTTTACCCTGTCTAAGACAGCAGCCAAAAACCATACCCTGGCCAGCGGCACGTACCCGTATAGCAAAAAGTGGTTTTCCTTTTGTTTTATCAAGGGCCCTAGAACTGAAATTATGATCTATAATGTCGAGAGGTCGCTTCATTTATCCAACCTATGACAAATGATCGTTTCAGGAGTATTTTAAAACATGTATTCTTTAACTTAGAAATAATGTGACTGTCATACAGGCGTCCCGTTTGTAAAAGTGCTCAATACGCAATAGACCCTCTGCCGGGACATTTCATGAGAGTTATTATTTATTTAAAAAAGAACTTTGTTAACGAGATGTAAATTCATTGAATTCATTTTGCAAATCTTTGAACTTGATTATTTAATATTTTCCTTTTATTTGTGAACTCAGTTGAACTCTGATCAGTGCTTTAGCTTTTTAGAATGGAAACTCTGATTATTGTACGAATGATATTAAAGGATATTAAATGACATAGAAGTTTGTGTATACATTCCCTGTTGTTTCGAATGTTGAGAAATGAGGCTACTTTTCTTGTATTAGTAGAAAGAAATGTTTAGTACCAAAGCGCTAACTTCGCGAATGTTGAGTTATGAAGTTACGCGAACTTTTCCTGTATTAGTAGAAAGAAATGTAGTACCAAAGCGCTAACTTCTCGTGAGAAATGAAGTTACGCGAACTTTTCCTGTTTAGTAGAAAGAAATGTTTAGTACCAAAGCGCTACTTAGCGAATGTTGAGAAATGAGATTACGCGAAATTTTCCTGTATTAGTAGAATTGTAATTCATTGTTGCTTTATATAGAAATAAAAGTTTCGCGAATTTTTATTTTATTAGTACTAATAAACATTTTTGCAAAGTTCGCTAATATGTAAGTCCCGATAAATAAAGTAAGAAAAACACCAAATAAAAAGAACAGAAACATAAGATCTTATATAAYTCAAACGATCAAAATATTATTCAAAGTTATACTATACTGACAAAACTGCAAAGACTGTACCGTTTCTATTGCTTATATGACCTTTCAGATATTTTGCATATTTTGAATAAGATAGAAGCTCTTACAGCATAATGTCGTTACTTTGGAAAACTTAGAAAAGACATGATATCTAATGAAGTTACTTCGAGTTCAGTTCTATAAAAAATTATGATGTAATAAATAACTTATATTAACTTAATTCTGTCTTGACTTAGTTAATTATTTTAGTTGCATCGAGCTACGCGCTAATCGAAGACACTAATGCATGTTAGTTGCATCGAGCTACGCGCTAATCGAAGACACTAATGTATGTTAGTTGCATCGAGTTACGCGCTAATCGAAGACACTAATGTATGTTAGTTGCATCGAGCTACGCGCTGGGCGTGACCGAGGCAAATTTGGGCGTGGCGAGCGCGTATTCTCAACACCCCAAAACCCCTCCCCATATTGTGCAGTCCCTAACACACGTATATGAGTAAAAAACAAACGTGATAGTTTACGTTGAGTGAACTAATAACAATGTTGAAGACTGGCTAGCGTACAGTGGTAAATGGGGAAATTATAACAAATTCGTTAAATCTCCGAATTAAAAACTCGGGGCTACATGGTCGAGAAAAGAGTCTGATGATAGTGTCATACCTTGAGATGTTGTCGGTCGACTTGCAGGTCGCGTTGGACTTAGTTGGTCTAGCTTTTGCTCTATATTATCAACTTTTTCCAGCTTGTCCTTTACGCTTCCAAATTCATCCAGCACTCTCTTTTCTGATTCCTTCACTTCATGGATTACTCTATCAGCCTCATCAGTGATCCATTCTTTTAAGCATTTGATGTAGTAGTCTTCATCTTCTGGTTCGAAGGATTGTGTCTTAAGACTATCAATGGCNTCAGGTTTTCATCTTCTTGAACAAAAATTTCACTGCAGTGCTTGATTTCGGTCAGCGTTTTACGGTGTACAGGGTGCTGTCCGCTTTGAATTTGTTCTGGACATCTTTCCTTTCCGTGGTGAACAACCACATTGGTGAAAATATCGTCGGTCTTCATTGGTGCATGGATCATTCCTTTTGGTTGTAGATCGTCCGTTTGGGTTATTATTGCTTCCTTTAGTTTTTCACAGTAACGTTCCGCATCTGTAAAGAAAAGAAATAATCTAACTATACTATTTACAGTGTGACTGAAAAATAGGCGCGTGAAAGTACAATTTATCTATAAAAGGGTGTAAGTACTCATTTTTACTACGACATAATTAATGTAAAAATTTCTTGATTTCTGTTTACGTGTGAGCCTTGGTAAGTAAAAGTACATAACTCGGTCGTGATTTCAGATGCTTTCGTTCTTTTTTCTTTATTTTTTATCTCTCTGTTTAGTCTAATTTTTTTTTTACTTGAAAATTAATTCAACCATTCAGAAAGCAAGAAAATTATTACCATAATGTGAATTTAAAGAATATAATTCGCATTTTATGTCTAGTTTGTTTTGTTCATAAGTGACTGCGCAATATTTATCAGGACGGAGGATGGTAAAAAATGTGAAACAGCTAGTGACGTCTCCCCTCATACTGTCGGGAACCCTGTGCCATACTCTTATTCGAATAGTGGTGTGGGTTCCTTACACATCATGATTTTGAGCGATTTTGAGCAAGTTATAAAATACTAATTATTCGTTTCATCCATAAATACCAGAAACGGTACATTAGAATATAAAATTTAACCAAGTTATTAAAGATATACTAAGTGTCTATCTATAAATTATTATACAAATTTAGAACATTAAAACAATAATTCGCAGTCATAATAGATTCATCTTTCATTGACAGTAGGAATAAGCAATGGTAATCTGTGAAGGTTTTGAAAGAGTTATTAATGTTAGTGTACAGGCTTTCTAAGAAAACCATTTCGTTGTTATTACACAAAGGTGACAAGAATGCTGTTCGTAAGGAATTCCATTATATCTACTTGTCTGAATGAATCAAGGGCGCCAGGAAAACCATTACAGTTTTTGAATGATATTAGGATTGTATTTGTTATAGCTTTGAACATCTTATAGAAATTCACTTATTTAACTTCTTGTGTATATCTCGAGTGCATCCCGAATTCCCTTGTGGGTTGGTCGCAATTTTCTCCATTCCAATTGTTCAAAAGCTGTACATTGTTATTTAAGTACGCAACGTTATTTAACGGTCGTTTATTAGGTACTGGTACCGTCCGCTTTTGCAGCCAAGCGATTTAATCTATGCCACTAATATCGTTAATACCCTAAGTTCACTAAAAAACGTGGCGTACTGAAATGAAAACGTACAGCTTTTGACCTATTGGAATGGAGAAAATTGCCGGGGGGGGGGGGGGGGGGGGGGGAGACAATTCCTGACCCTTTTAAGACACTAGAAAGTGAAAGTCCATAATCCATACATGTTAATCCTGTTACAGTGAAACGGTATTTCTACTATTTCTGTATTTCTTGTGAAAATATTGCCTTGTCTGCAAGACAAAAATAATTATATCGGTCTTTTATCTAAATTTAAAACCGTAAAAAAGTATGTGAAATAACTTACTGACGTTTCGGACGTTAATCCTCCGACGAAGCAAAAAGTGGTTTTCCTTTTGTTTTATCAAGGGCCCTAGAACTGAAATTATGACCTATAATGTCGAGAGGTCGCTTCATTTATCCAACCTATGACAAATGATCGTTTCAGGAGCATTTTAAAACATGTATTCTTTCCCACTCACCTCAAGCAGTCTTACTCAAACTTTAGCAAGAAGTTTAAACAACATTTACTAAGCTATCAAAAATAGTCTCCTCCTCCATATATTGATATGGACTAGTTGACTATTTCAACTAAATTGGTTGATCAGTCCATAAATGAAATTGTAAAAATTGTAATATTTGTAAATATTTTTGTAAATATTTTTTTAAGTAAAACCCTCTTTATTTTCTTTAGTATATTTATATCTATTTCCTGAAGAAACTATCTTGTTAAATCTAATGTTTGTATTCATTTAAAAAGAGCCCTAAGCTCCCTTTCCATAGGCAGTGGCTAACTCGAAAGCTAAGCTCCTTTAGCCACTGCACACTTTCCCCTATAATAAACATGTAATTCCCCATAATTATCTATAATAGATTAATAATATTCCTTGTAAAATAAGTATATATGTGTGTAAATAAAAAATTGAAAATTGAATTGAAATTTAGAAATAATGTGACTGTCATACAGGCGTCCCGTTTGTAAGAGTGCTCAATACGCAATAGACCCTCTGCCGGGACATTTCATGAGAGTTATCATTTAAAAAAGAACTTTGTTAACGAGATGTAAATTCATTGAATTCATTTTGCAAATCTTTGAACTTGATTATTTAATATTTTCCTTTTATTTGTGAACTCAGTTAACTGACTCTGATCAATGCTTTAGCTTTTTAGAATGGAAACTCTGATTATTGTACGAATGATATTAAAGGATATTAAATGACATAGAAGTTTGTGTATACATTCCCTGTTGTTTCGAATGTTGAGAAATGAGGTTACGTGAACTTTTCTTGTATTAGTAGAAAGAAATGTTTAGTACCAAAGCGCCAATCTCGCGAATGTTGAGTTATGAAGTTACGCGAGCTTTTCCTGTATTATTAGAAAGAAATGTTTAGTACCAAAGCGCTAACTTCGCGAATGTTGAGTTATGAAGTTACGCGAACTTTTCCTGTTTAGTAGAAAGAAATGTAGTACCAAAGCGCTAACTTCTCGAATGTTGAGAAATGAGATTACGCGAAATTTTCCTGTATTAGTAGAAATGTAATTCATTGTTGCTTTATATGGAAATAAAAGTTTCGCGAATTTTTATTTTATTAGTATACTAATAAACATTTTTGCAAAGTTCGCTAATATGTAAGTCCCGATAAATAAAGTAAGAAAAACACCAAATAAAAAGAACAGAAACATAAGATCTTATATATTTCAAACGATCAAAATATTATTCAAAGTTATACGATACTGACAAAACTGCAAAGACTGTAGCGTTTCTATTGTTTATATGACCTTTCAGATATTTTGCATATTTTGAATAATATAGAAGCTCTTACAGCATAATGTCGTTACTTTGGAAAACTTAGAATGACATGATATCTAAAGAAGTTACTTCGAGTTCAGTTCTGTAAAAAATTATGATGTAATAAATAACTTATATTAAGTTAACTTAATTCTGTCTTGGCTTAGTTAAGTTATGTTAGTTTCATCGAGCTACGCGCTAATCGAAGACACTAATGTATGTTAGTTGCATCGAGCTACGCGCTAATCGAAGACACTAATGTATGTTAGTTGCATCGAGTTATGCGCTGGGCGTGACCGAGGCAAATTTGGGCGTGGTCGAGCGCGTATTCTCAACACCCCCAAACCCCTCCCCATATTGCGCAGTCCCTAACACACGTATATGAGTAAAAAGCAAACGTGATAGTTTACGTCGAGCGAACAAATAACAATGTTGAAGACTGGATAGCGTACAGTGGTAAATGGGGAAATTATAACAAATTCGTTAAGTCTCCGAATTAATGAACTCGGGGCTACATGGTCGAGAAAAGAGTCTGATGATACTGTCATACCTTGAGATGTTGTCGGTCGACTTGAAGGTCGCGTTGGACTTAGTTGGTCTAGCTTTTGCTCTATATTACTATCAACTTTTTCCAGCTTGTCCTTTACGCTTTCAAATTCATCCAGCACTCTCTTTTCTGATTCCTTCACTGATTCCTTCACTTCATGGATAACTCTATCAGCCTCATTAGTGATCCATTCTTTTAAGCATTTGATGTAGTAGTCTTCATCTTCTGGTTCGAAGGATTGTGTCTTAAGACTATCAATGGCTGTCTTGTTTACACCATGTCTTAACAAAACAGTTTCAATGTCGTTCCAGTACTTGTTGAAATCAGCGTTTGATAGAGCTGGTTCAGAGATGTGACCATAGAGATTATTACGGTATAATCTCAACCTTACTACATCATCTTCCACGTTAACACTTCCTGTAGCAGGCTCTTCGTTCCATCCTTTTACTGGTGTTGGCAAATTGCAGATATTGCGCAACAGTAAACTTAAGAGAGTTATGTCAAAACCTGTAGATGTTGCCGATCCTACACTTGGATACAGTCTGTTCCACTGCTCTGGTCGTAGAAGTTTTTTAGCCTTCAAATTCTTTAAGATATTATGAATCCTGCTGTCCATCAAATGTTTCTTTAGATCGTGAGGTGGATGTTTGGCATCAAAAATGACTCTAAGGGCATGAGTTCCTCCATCGATGAGTAATTTACACAATCGAGCAAARTTGGTGTTTTCTTTTGTAATTGTTGACCATCCAGTAGCCATCTTTAGTTTCTGTAACAGCGAAAATAAGCGATGATYAATATTGATCACAGGAAAGTGAAACCTGTACTGTGACAGGATTTCAATCAGTTTCTGCTGATAAATTTAGCCATCCTAACCTGGAGACCTGGCGATCATTCTACCGCGATTTCAATTCCTGGTTAGTCTTTTATAAAATGTGGAGTAAAATGGAGAGAAAATCTATCAGGCAAAGCTGACCTTGTAATAAGCTGAAGCTACAAATTGTAAATCATCTAAAGAATGGCTTTTTGTATCGGGTTTCAGCAACTACACTCGACACTAATACTAGCCTCAACTACTCATGAGTTCGTAATATTAGACAGCTTGTAATAGAACTCCATATTTTAAAAAGTAGAAGCAATCGTTGTGGAACTTAAATTGATTAATCAAGCCTGTTTCACTTCGATACTAAGAGTTCGTCATCTCTATAACTCGCTATATGGCACTATACCACGTTTCGTTCACATGACTTCGATGAGTGAGCACTACGAAAGCTGGCTGCATTGTTCATTGCAAAATATTTCTTCTTTCCGGGTAAAGTATAAGATCAGAGTAAAACCATAATCCGAAACCTTACCTCTGAAAAGGTTTGAAGTCTTGATCTAAAGTAACTAAGCTGAAGTGATATTCAGGTGTGTCAGTATCTTCCCAACTCTTCGGTTCGTCTGACTATGACACGTTTGACTTGCTAGAGATGCTGTGACAGACACTCCTTCTTATTAAAAGCAAACTAAATCAACCAATAGAAACAGCTGTCAGTCAGCTTAAAGTCAGTTGTTAGTTTGTCGTAAAAATAAAAACTGTGACCTTTTGCCTTGTTTTAATAGCATGTTAAATTCATACCAAATTTGGAGATGTTTTGTTCAGTAAACAACAGTCTGTGTCACATTCGGATTTCATTTCGGTCGTCTAGGGTCAAGTGAAAGGAAGTCTGGATCAGATGACACAGCACTAGTAGTAGACAGTAATACATGTTATGACTTGAATTATACCAAATCTCTACCAAAAATTATTGGTTAATCTGAACCGCAATGTGAATGTATTTTGCACTTTATAAATGTCATTTCTTCAAATGTATGATAAATTTATTGTGAGATTGTGGGATTTGGAAATATGATCTGAAACTTGTATTCAATTACTACAGTAGTATCCATGAGAAAAACAATTTCAAAAACTCATTGGTATTTTAAAAAACTACAGAACTACCCTGGTTCCAGAAGTTTTCTCTTCTTTTTAAAGATGTTTTTTTCTGGTATTCTTGTCTTTGCAATTTTGTCTCTCTTTTTTTTTTGTCGACGCTAAATTTAAAAAGCAAAGACAAAAATACGATAAATATTAAAAAACAAACACCTATAAAAGAAGAGAAAACCAGGTACCAGGGTACTATAGAACACTCAATCAGCAAAACTGCAAGCAGTGCAGCGCATCTGGTCTATATGCATCTAGACTGCAGTGACCTTGGACACCATGACGACTGATTATCGATACATGTACATTATTTCTATATAGGTACAATTATTAGATCCATCTAAATTCTCTTGAAACCACTTCAATCTGGCTTATTAACGATACTGAATCTCTAAATTGTAAACGTTTAGTGTTGTACTTGTTTGACACGTCGCGTATTGTGCATGCGGTTCGATTACATCCGGGCCTTGCGGATCATTTCACTTCTAGTATATTTAATACATAAATTTTTTGCGTGGCCTGAAGAGTCTAAACTATCATTTCGAGCAGCGGAAAACGAGTAAAAAAATAACCTGCACTATAATGGACAAACATCCTTGCAAAAAATACGAAACATATCCTGTGGAGGATCGGGAAGGGAAAAGATTTCCAGTCCACCAATTCGCAACAGCAACAAAATTCTTGAATACATTTCAATCGATTGAAATAGTCATTTCATTACTTTATTAGTCGGGCTACCCGAAGGGGGCCCGACTTTAGTTTTACCTTTTTGTCTATGTGTGTGTCATGTCGCGTTTGGCCACCGGAAGTTGAAATAATTACACCAGTCCGTAAATAATTCATTACATCACATGATATTTATGACATCTATAAGTCTACAACGTCATATCCTTTGGGCCTACTATACAGTGCTTCATACATTCGGCTTGATTTATATACTAATATTTTGGATTACTGAGAACCATATGGGAAGTACTGCTCTTCAAGAAACTGGGGAAGAACTGCCTTTCAGAAACTCCTTGAAAGTAGTGAGCATGCTCAGAGTAGTAAAACACCATCTTACAAACGCACACTAAAAGATGTCAATGAGTGTCAGTTTCGAAACGAGTCGTTCCGCGAGCCCAAAGAATTCTTCGGCAAGACGAAGGATCAGACCTCTACAATCAGCTCTAGACTCACAGTGATAAGTTTATTTGTTCTAATAGCTATATTTTACGTATCAATAAATAGTTTTGTCAATTATATTTCCCCATTTACTGTGTTATTCATCGCAGTCTTGTTTTGTAAAATATGCTTCTTGACCTCAGAGGTCATTTTTTTAATTAAAAACGTGAAACGTTACACCGATATCTGATAATCAAATGCATTGCGCCATTTCGTCTGTGGTTGCATTAGTGATGATAGGACATGAGTTTAAAGAGCATTTAAAGCATTTATTTTGAATTTATTTGAAAGAATTGCCTTTGGAGATTCCCCTAAATAGTATAAGCTGGTCCATGTACAAAAAACGGGATAAGTATAGGTTAATAGGGTTCTTTCCTTTAAACATTGCATCAAAAATTGTAAATAATAAAGTGTTGTTTATATGACCTTTTTAAATCACACGAAATTTGCATATTTTGAATGAGCTACACGCTTTTACAGCGTGAAGTCGGGATAGCTATTTTTGAAAATTGAGAAAGACAGAATATCACTCCTGGATCGATATTTCTAGTGTTTTGATGTCGCGTTGCGCCAAGCCACCAGAAAAGAATATCGTGGTGCGTGAATAAACAAACTAGATAAGGTATTCTACTCCATAATTTACTTTCATATATAATTATATGAGTGTCAGAATATTACATGTTTTTTTAGATACGAATTTGAACTCTTTTGCTCTTCACGTATTCGAAAATCCAAGTAATTTTTCAATTTTCCAAAATAGCTAGCCCGACTTCACGCTCCAGGAGCGTCTAGTTTTACATGTTTTTGCATGTCTATCACGTGCTGTTTGTATGATGATTACGTCTATTGATAGTGACCTTGAATTTGATCCTTGAATGTAGATGTGTAATAGCCTGTTCGCATGTATAAATAGTATTGCGTTTTTTTTGTATGAAGAATGAATAGAGGATATTACATGGGCGCGGCGGCGCGGAAATACTAATTTTATCTTCTATTTTATCGAGTGTTCAATCGATATCTCAAGAGTGAACGTAGCGAATAAATGTACAAAAAGAAGACGACTTCTTCAAAAACTTTAGATTTATTAAGAAAAAAACGCAAGCTTTTCACAATCTATCTATTCTCACGATATAACTTAATCATTTCCAAGTTTCACAGAAAATTAGCAATATAAAGTGCCAAAAAGGTTTCTTGAAGTAAACTTTTTGTCTTTGTTTTTGTTTTCCTGAGATAAAAGTTATAAGTTATTCTTGGCGTGAAGGTTCAGCCTCATTCCTCACAAGAACATTTCATGATATTAAACGTTCCTCCAGCGATGTAGTTTCCGTGAAACATTGCCTGTAAAGTGTTTTCCTTGACATCTAGAGCATTAGAAGTTGATGAAGTGGCATTAGGAGATTGTGAGAGCTGCCCTTGAGAGAAGAGTCAGTGAGCTTGGGACACTGGGACTATCGCTTTTGTGCTGATAAAATATGCGTTGTATTTTCCAATCGTCTCCCCGAGAGAGAGAGAGAGAGAGCTGTAGTTGTTAACAGATTGAAGATTTTTGTGTGCAGATATTTGTATTATTTGGTTTGGAGGAACGTCGTTGTTTTGAAGTTTTTGAATCAATGTTTTTCGACCACTGTAGTGGTTTGTCTTTTTTGATGATTTGGGCGGTCTTCAGTCAGTGTCTTTCATAACACTGTTCAACTTGTTTTTTCCCATTGGCTGAGCTTTTTTATACTATTTGCAGTCTCTTGACAATTACTCTGGTTCTGTCAGACAGAAGAAGACATAAAGCTAAATAGAAACAAGAGTCAGAATTTTCCATTGTTTCAGGACGTTTTTCTCTGTACAACTTGTAAACCTGCACGGGTCACGCTCTGGTCTTGCAAGATTAGCGTACCCATACGTTGCTTGACTTGGCGTTGATCTCGCGGGGTTTCTCCTGTTGTCGTTTTCGTTTGGCGCTCTGAATACTCGAGATATCCCTGCCCTCCAATCTCTGTTTTTTA